TTCAGATCTCAAGGAGTTTGGGAAGTGCTGAAGAAGTAGTGAATGAACTGACATTAAGTGCATTGGGGGAGAGGAGTGGCCCCCGTGCACAAGCACATGCGTGTGTGTATATACCATTGGTTTTGCTCTTTGTGTTGAGCAGGTAAATCCCTATGGGACACAAAATATGTTTATATATTTTGGAAATGTTATTGAAGTTGTGTTTTTCATTCTCTCGGCACTGCAGGTAACCAGCATGCAAGTGGCTGGACAGATGACAAACATGAGGGGTGCATGAACTGCCTGTTGAGGGAAGATATCCCCTGGCCTCTCCCCTTCTGCCCGAGGTCCCAGCCCTCCCACCCCTCCCCCTCCAGAGCCCAGAGGCCCCCAAATGCGGCTGCTAGCCCTCCAGCCCTGGGCCGCCCCAGTGCCCCAGGTCCCGGCTGCAGACTGGAGCACACACCAGCTCCAGCCACCTGAATCCTGGCCACAGGCTAGCCCACCCCAGCAGAAGAGCGGGAACTGGAAGCAGGCAGAAGGGAGCCTGGGGGTGGAGCATAGGCGGGGCCACAGCAAGCTGTTTGGGGAGTCTCAGCCTGTGATAACCGCCGCCCATGGTGACAAAGGCAATCTCCTGATCTCCCAGCGTTGTCACAGAATAATGAACAATAGCATGGTGAGATTGCACAGAAGGACAGAAGCAAAGATTGCATACTGGCAATGTACAGTGTGACACCATGGCCTGTAACAAAGCATAGCCATGATCAGAGCAAGTGCAGTCAGAACAGTGTGTGACCATGTTGTGTGGATATGAGCGGCTTGATGCTCCACTATCTTCTATCTTGCATAGTCATTCCCATGTGTGCAAAATGTATGTAAAACACATGGGGTGGGGGAGTTGAAATTCTGGCAAAACTTTTATTGACTTTGGTGGACCCAGGTTTGAATCCTGAGTGATTTGGTACTGTTTAGCTCTGGTAGATATAGAAATGATTAGGCAACATGGAAGGCTGGGTAGACTCAGCCCTGGGGTATGTTAACAGGTGTTTGCCACTCTAAACTGCACTCATGTAAACAAATGAAGCCCTTTTAATTCAGTCAATCTGAAAACTGGATAACAAGAACCCTACAGATTTTCTCACATTAGATTAGACTTTTATTTAAAAGAAGAACTCTGTGACCACTTTTCTCTCTGTTAGCAGCATTCTGAAAAGGTTTGTTTACTTATAAACACACTCCAACAACCACAGTCACTTGTACAAGATCATGTACTGATTAAATTAAAAGCCAGGCAAGTGTCTTCACATTGAAGGAAACCTTGTCGTAGCTTTGCCTCGCCTACATATTAATGAAAAAATCCTGTGTTTTGTAAATAAGCTCTCCAAAGTCTGGTGGAAAAGTGCTTTCTTCCTCATTTCATCAATAAGGTACTATGTGACTTTAAAAAAATTCCACTGCTCTAGGAAAACTTCTGTTTCCTTTTAATGTCCAGATTTAGCAAGTTTTTCAAAGCCCTTCTTATTAAGAAAAGTTGCGGCTGGGAACATGGATAAGTAGCTACAGCTATTCCAGAACATTATAAATATTCAGGCAAAGATATTTCAGAAATTATCCTCTAAGGTGGGCTTTATTGTCTCCTGGGGCCCACCTACAGTTAGGTAAGAGCCTCCTAAAGTGACATGGATGGCCCCAAATGATCATGGGTGGTTTTTAAAAAATAAATACAAAATTAGTTTCACACCTACTTAGACAGTTTAGAATTTTAATGTGCAAAGTCTGCCAGCTCTTTGCAGTGAAATAAGGCCATACATTCAAACTCCTTAAAGCCAGTCAGAAGGCAGGGCAGAGTACTACCCATTTTGCAATAGGAAGCACTCCTCAGTTCTAGACTTTATTATTAATGAACAAGGTATTACTTGGTATCATTTAGCATTCATATGAACAGGGATTGATTTAAACTAAAAAAACTCCAAGAAATTCAGAGGTAAGAAGAGTCTCTTAATTTTACTGTGCTGAGAAGCTGCAGCACATATGGGACCAGATCCTTTGGTCTGGGTGATCTGTGCTTCCCTGTAGGGTAGGATGCCCAAAGGTAGGTTTTCTGTACACCACCTTTGCAGTTCCCCAATACGGAGGCTAGTTTTGCCCTCCAGTGCAACTTAGGGTATGTCTACACTACGGAATAAGGTCGAATTTATAGAAGTCGTTTTTTTAGAAATCGGTTTTATATATTCGAGTGTGTGTGTCCCCACAGAAAATGCTCTAAGTGCATTAAGTGCATTAACTCGGCGGAGCGCTTCCACAGTACTTCCGGAGCGTTGCACTGTGGGTAGCTATCCCACAGTTCCCGCAGTCTCCGCTGCCCATTGGAATTCTGGGTTGAGATCCCAATGCCTGATGGGGCTAAAACATTGTCGCGGGTGGTTCTGGGTACATATCGTCAGGTCCCCGTTCCCTCCCTCCCTCCGTGAAAGCAAGGGCAGACAATTGTTTCGCGCCTTTTTTCCTGAGTTACCTGTGCAGACGCCATACCACGGCAAGCATGGAGCCCGCTCAGGTAACCGTCACCCTATGTCTCCTGGGTGCTGGCAGATGCGGTACGGCTTTGCTGCACAGTAGCAGCAACCCATTGCCTTCTGGCAGCAGACGGTGCAATACGACTGGTAGTCGTCCTCATCGTGTCCGAGGTGCTCCTGGCCACGTCGGCTGGGAGCGCCTGGGCAGACATGGGCGCAGGGACTAAATTTGGAGTGACTTGACCAGGTCATTCTCTTTAGTCCTGCAGTCAGTCCTATTGAACCATCTTATGGTGAGCGGGCAGGCGATACGGACTGCTAGCAGTCGTACTGTACCATCTTCTGCCAGGCAGGCAAGAGATGAGGATTGCTAGTAGTCGTATTGTACCATCTTCTGCCAGGCAGGCAAGAGATGAGGATGGCTAGCAGTCGTACTGTACCATCTTCTGCCGAGCAGCCATGAGATGTGGATGGCATGCAGTCCTTCTGCACCATCTGCTGCCAGCCAAAGATGTAAAAGATAGATGGAGTGGGTCAAAACAAGAAATAGACCAGATTTGTTTTGTACTCATTTGCCTCCTCCCCTGTCTAGGGGACTCATTCCTCTAGGTCACACTGCAGTCACTCACAGAGAAGGTGCAGCGAGGTAAATCTAGCCATGTATCAATCAGAGGCCAGGCTAACCTCCTTGTTCCAATAAGAATCATAACTTAGGTGCACCGTTTCTTATTGGAACCCTCCGTGAAGTCCTGCCTGAAATACTCCTTGATGTAAAGACACCCCCTTTGTTGATTTTAGCTCCCTGAAGCCAACCCTGTAAGCCGTGTCGTCAGTCGCCCCTCCCTCCGTCAGAGCAACGGCAGACAATCGTTCCGCGCCTTTTTTCTGTGCGGACGCCATACCAAGGCAAGCATGGAGGCCGCTCAGCTCACTTTGGCAATTAGGAGCACATTAAACACCACACTCATTATCCAGCAGTATATGCAGCACCAGAACCTGGCAAAGCGATACCGGGCGAGGAGGCGACGTCAGCGCGGTCACGTGAGTGATCAGGACATGGACACAGATTTCTCTGAAAGCATGGGCCCTGCCAATGCATGCATCATGGTGCTAATGGGGCAGGTTCATGCTGTGGAACGCCGATTCTGGGCTCGGGAAACAAGCACAGACTGGTGGGACCGCATAGTGTTGCAGGTCTGGGACGATTCCCAGTGGCTGCGAAACTTTCGCATGCGTAAGGGCACTTTCGTGGAACTTTGTGACTTGCTTTCCCCTGCCCTGAGGCGCATGAATACCAAGATGAGAGCAGCCCTCACAGTTGAGAAGCGAGTGGCGATAGCCCTGTGGAAGCTTGCAACGCCAGACAGCTACCGGTCAGTTGGGAATCAATTTGGAGTGGGCAAATCTACTGTGGGGGCTGCTGTGATGCAAGTAGCCCATGCAATCAAAGATCTGCTGATATCAAGGGTAGTGACCCTGGGAAATGTGCAGGTCATAGTGGATGGCTTTGCTGCAATGGGATTCCCTAACTGTGGTGGGGCTATAGACGGAACCCATATCCCTATCTTGGCACCGGAGCACCAAGCCGCCGAGTACATAAACCGCAAGGGGTACTTTTCGACAGTGCTGCAAGCTCTGGTGGATCACAAGGGATGTTTCACCAACATCAACGTGGGATGGCCGGGAAAGGTGCATGATGCTCGCATCTTCAGGAACTCTGGTCTGTTTCAAAAGCTGCAGGAAGGGACTTTATTCCCAGACCAGAAAATAACTGTTGGGGATGTTGAAATGCCTATATGTATCCTTGGGGACCCAGCCTACCCCTTAATGCCATGGCTCATGAAGCCGTACACAGGCAGCCTGGACAGTAGCCAGGAGCTGTTCAACTACAGGCTGAGCAAATGCAGAATGGTGATAGAATGTGCATTTGGACGTTTAAAGGCGCGCTGGCGCAGTTTACTGACTCGCTTAGACCTCAGCGAAACCAATATTCCCACTGTTATTACTGCTTGCTGTGTGCTCCACAATATCTGTGAGAGTAAGGGGGAGACGTTTATGGCGGGGTGGAAGGTTGAGGCAAATCGCCTGGCTGCTGGTTACACGCAGCCAGACACCAGGGCAGTTAGAAGAGCAGAGGAGGGCGCGGTACGCATCAGAGAAGCTTTGAAAACCAGTTTCATGACTGGCCAGGCTACGGTGTGAAAGTTCTGTTTGTTTCTCCTTGATGAAACCCCCCACTCCTTGGTTCACTCTACTTCCCTGTAAGCTAACCACCCGCCCCTCCTCCCTTCAATCACCGCTTGCAGAGGCAATAAAGTCATTGTTGCTTCACATTCATGCATTCTTTATTCATTCATCACACAAATAGGGGGATGACTACCAAGGTAGCCCAGGAGGGGTGGTGGAGGAGGGAAGGAAAATGCCACACAGCACTTTAAGCACAGCACTTTAAAAGTTTACAACTTTAAAATTTATTGAATGACAGCCTTCTTTTTTTGGGGCAATCCTCTGTGGTGGAGTGGCTGGTTGGCCAGTGGCCCCCCCACCGCGTTCTTGGGCGTCTGGGTGTGGAGGCTATGGAACTTGGGGAGGAGGGCGGTTGGTTACAGAGGGGCTGCAGTGGCAGTCTGTGCTCCAGCTGCCTTTGCTGCAGCTCAACCATACACTGGAGCATACTGGTTTGGTCCTGCAGCAGCCTCAGCATTGAATCCTGCCTCCTCTCATCACGCTGCCGCCACATTTGAGCTTCAGCCCTGTCTTCAGCCCGCCACTTACTCTCTTCAGCCCGCCACCTCTCCTCCCAGTCATTTTGTGCTTTCCTGCACTCTGACATTATTTGCCTCCACGCATTCGTCTGTGCTCTGTCAGTGTGGGAGGACAGCATGAGCTCGGAGAACATTTCATCGCGAGTGCGTTTTTTTTTCTTTCTAAGCTTCACTAGCCTCTGGGAAGGAGAAGATCCTGTGATCATTGAAACACATGCAGCTGCTGGAGGAAAAAAAAGGGACAGCGGTATTTAAAAAGACACATTTTATAAAACAGTGGCTACACTCTTTCAGGGTAAACCTTGCTGTTAACATTACATACATAGCACATGTGCTTTCGTTACAAGGTCGCATTTTGCCTCCTCCCACCGTGTGACTACCCCCTCAACCTTCCCCCCTCCCTGTGGCTAACAGCGGGGAACATTTCTGTTTAGCCACAGGCAAACAGCCCAGCAGGAATGGGCTCCTCTGAGTGTCCCCTGAAGAAAAACACTCTATTTCAACTAGGTGACCATGAATTATATCTCACTCTCCTGAGGATAACACAGAGAGATAAAGAACGGATGTTGTTTGAATGCCAGCAAACATACACTGCAATGCTTTGTTCTACAATGATTCCCGAGTACGTGTTACTGGCCTGGAGTGGTAAAGTGTCCTACCATGAAGGACGCAATAAGGCTGCCCTCCCCAGAAACCTTTTGCAAAGGCTTTAGGACTACATCTAGGAGAACCGCAAATGCCAGGGCAAAGTAATCCTTTCACATGCTTGCTTTTAAACCATGTATAGTATTTTAAAAGGTACACTCACCAGAGGTCCCTTCTCCGCCTGCTGGGTCCAGGAGGCAGCCTTGGGTGGGTTCGGGGGGTACTGGCTCCAGGTCTAGGGTGAGAAACAGTTCCTGGCTGTCGGGAAAAGCGGTTTCTCCGCTTGCTTGCTGTGAGCTATCTACAACCTCCTCATCATCATCATCTTCTTCATCCCCAAAACCTGCTTCCGTATTGCCTCCATCTCCATTGAAGGAGTCAAACAACACGGCTGGGGTAGTGGTGGCTGAACCCCCTAAAATGGCATGCAGCTCATCATAGAAGCGGCATGTTTGGGGCTCTGACCCAGAGCGGCTGTTCGCCTCTCTGGTTTTCTGGTAGGCTTGCCTCAGCTCCTTCAGTTTCACGCGGCACTGCTTCGGGTCCCTGTTATGGCCTCTGTCCTTCATGCCCTGGGAAATTTTGACAAAGGTTTTGGCATTTCGAAAACTGGAACGGAGTTCTGATAGCACGGATTCCTCTCCCCAAACAGCGATCAGATCCCATACCTCCCGTTCAGTCCATGCTGGAGCTCTTTTGCGATTCTGGGACTCCATCATGGTCACCTGTGCTGATGAGCTCTGCATGGTCACCTGCAGCTTGCCACGCTGGCCAAACAGGAAATGAGATTCAAAAGTTCGCGGTTCTTTTCCTGTCTACCTGGCCAGTGCATCTGAGTTGAGAGTGCTGTCCAGAGCGGTCACAATGGAGCACTCTGGGATAGCTCCCGGAGGCCAATACCATCGAATTGTGTCCACAGTACCCCAAATTCGAGCCGGCAACGTCGATTTAAGCGCTAATCCACTTGTCAGGGATGGAGTAAGGAAATCGATTTTAAGAGCCCTTTAAGTCGAAATAAAGGGCTTCATTGTGTGGACGGGTGCAGGTTTACATCGATTTAACGCTGCTAAATTCGACCTAAAGTCCTAGTGTAGACCAGGGCTTAGTGTAAACGATGCTGGCTTGGTGTGGCACTCCATCCCCCTGAAGTGACAGCTAAGCCAACTAGATATTGATAAGCCTGCTACAGCCTTGGCTAACAGAACCAGGCAATTTAGCTCAGGCAATAGAGGCTCATACATAAAGATCCAGAAACCCTGGATTTGATACCTGCTGCTGACAACCCATCCAGGGGTGTTGCTATTACAGTGGTGTGAGGGCTGCTTTAAATTACTCTAGGCTGTTTATGGCCTCAAGGGGCAATTGTGGCAGCCAGGGACTGTTGGAGCTTAGGGACACTCTAGCAAAAAAAAACCCTTTACTTAACCATCATTTTCCAGGAAGAGGATACAAGGCTCTGGGCCAACTGAGGATCCCCACTATGCTACCTAGGAAAAACTTTAGGAGGCCAATTAAGCTGATGATATGATTTCCTTGCACCACCAGAGAAGTATAAATGGGCTGTAGCAAGGCTGAAGATCTGGACCATAGTAATAAAACCCTGCAGTCTTATCACATTCTTTGCAGTCACAAATAACAAATGTCATAAGTCTAACTTTTTAGCAAGGGCTACATCTGAGTTTCTTGGGATTTGTAGGGCTAAGTCATCTAGATTTGTACAGTGTTTTAACAGACTATAACAATTATTTTATTGGCTTGTCACCTGGTCCTTAATACTCAAGGAATTAACTCCAGCTTTGGTCTCCTCTCCCTTTGCATTAGTAGTCAGGGTATATAATAGGAGTGGCCAAACTGTGGCTCGCGAGCCATATGTGGCTCTTTTACCATTAAAGTGACGCTCCTGGAGCCCCGCACGATCCTCCCCCCGTTCTCCACCTACCAGTCTGGGAGGAAAGCTCGAGACCTCTGCCTTGCAGCAGATTGTTGGGGAAGGGGCTTCTGCCCAGCACGGAGGGGGGTCTCTGGGCTTCAGCTGGAGTGCTGAAAGCCCCAGCCCCGGCATGCGTGCACCGGCTCTCGAACTTCCAAAGATTGTTGTATACGTCTCGGAGGGTCAGTAAGTTTGGCCACCCCGAGTATATAGTTTTGAAGGACTGTATGTGGAGATGGAAAGCGGAGAATGCCTGAGGGGAGGCAGGGCTCTGCACCGAGGTGTTGAAGTAAAGGGACACCTTCCAGGGTCAGATGGTTTTGCTTATCATTACTTTTTATTAATAATTAATATTATTTGTAGCACAGTAGCACTGCTGTAAACCCCAGTCAGGGTTCAAGGCCCCATTGTGCCAGGCATTGTTTTGATTTATATGGATAAAGATTTGTTCCCCCTGAAAAAGCTTTACTGATTCAACTGCTTTATTTCTGTTGAGTCACCCCTTCAGCTTACACTGACCTATAAACCCCAAACTTTCTGAGTTTATGAAAGCAAAGTTTTCCATAATTCTTTCATTGTCCCACATGTATTTATTTTATATTTCTAAGATTCACTCGTGTGAAGCTGTAGCCTTTGCCTTTCTGCGCCACTCGCTATAATGCTCTGCGTCTAATCTCCTTGCAATGAAGATCCTTAGTATAAAAAGGCTCCTCTGAGCATAGAGTTTGAAACATTTAAACATCCATTAAATACTCATTTAAATTATCAAGATTTTTTAAAAATAGTTTATTCCGGAAGTTTTAGCAACTTTACCAATCCTTGCCATGTAAATATCAGAGACAAAACAATAATCATTACACAGTGTGCTTTTGTTTAGAGAAACATACAGTAATATATTTTGGCATGCAGTCATGCAAGTACTCTTGCTACTGTTGTTGACAAGGCTTATAATGGAATAATTGATGTTTAATAAGAGGCCAGTTCATGCCAGTAAATTCAAAAGTACAGTAGGGTCATTTACATTATTCTTCATGTGTAGCAGTTACCTGATCCTCTGAAAATTAACCAAAAGTTTAGACAAGCTTGCTTATTTTTCAATTTAGATTTGAAAGAGGATATTCAAATTTGTGAATGGTGCCCATATCGTATTGGCTTACCCAGTATAATACGACACAGTGTGACACAGCGCATTGCAATGTGATGCAACATGTTTCCCCTCACCCCCATACAGCAGATCCAGCAGAAATGTGGTAGATAGCAATGGAGTAAATACAAAAAAGACTTGACAAATTATTTCCAGTTCCTCCACTGCATCTTTAAATCAACTGAATTTAGGGTGACCAGATAGCAAGTGTAAAAAATCGGGATGGGAGAGTGGGGGGTAATAGGTGCCTATATAAGAAAAAGACCACAAAATCGGGACTGTCCCTATAAAATCGGGACATCTGGTCACTCTAACTGAATTTAAAACCAACCAACCAAGGCAATCTTGATAACATCCAAATGTAACTTCAAAGCTCCCTTCAGACTTGAGATTCAAGATGCCTAGAATTGTAGAGGCAGATTTCATTCTGGAGTTGTCATGTTTGAGCTCCAAAGAGAGTAAGCCCAGACTGGCAGTTACAAAGGACTCTACACCAGCTTTGGGAGAGCTTCTCTGCTTGCAAGAGTTAGCACCTTGACTTCTTTGAGATTTGCAACCACTTTAGCACCCGTAGCCCAAACAATGTTTAAATCTGCTTTTCACTAACAAGGTGGTATTGGGGTTTCTCTGGCCAATGTTAAAAACAATTTACTACATAAGATAGAATGCATATATGTGAACTGATTTTCAGCATGGAGTAAGTCCTGTGTACACTGGCTAGGAGCTACACAGTTCCTGCTAGATAGGAACTAACACATTTCAGGTTTGAAATCTGTCTTTGTCTGTACAAACTTTTTCCAGAAATATTTCTCACCATTGCTAATGCAGCTCCACCAGAGTTAGCAACACTGAGAGACCTGGTGTAGATAGGACCACCAGATAGTTTTACCACTAGATCATTTAGACCTACACTGAACAGGCTTAAATGACACGGTGATTAAAATGCCAGCAGCCATTTGCAGCTCTGTCTGCACTAGAATCCCACCTCTGCTATTTTTAAAGGAGCTGCGGCAGTGTTAGCAATGGTGTGAAATCTGAAGGCTAGTTTGGAAACCATGGCCTGGATGCACAAAAGGAAGAAGACATTATAATGCTGAGCATCAAAGCACCTAACTTTTAGGTGCCTAGAAAGTCATTGCACCTCACATAGCCTTAGTTAGGCACCTTGGCTCCTACACAATGAATGGGGAGAGAGAGTTGCCATCCACAAAAACCAGCATACGAGGCAAGAAGTTGCTTAAGATAGCTGATGAAAATTGCCAACCAGAGGGGTATGTCCTATGCCCGCCCCCTCATGGAGATAGAAGCCTAAGTCCAGGCTGCAGGGAGGTGCCTACCTGTGCTAACGACTCTCAGTGTGAACCCTCTCCTTGAGTTGGGCACCTACCCTGTTTTAGCAAAAAGTTGAGGAGGAACTCCCTTATCACTTTTAGCCCAAGGGTTAGGGTACTTACCTGGGATGTGGGAGACTCCCCTGTTCAAGTCCCCTCTCCACTTGAAAGAAAAGAGGGATCTGAACAGGGATTTATCACCTCTGAGGTGAGTGCTTTAACCACTGGATTATGGGATAGCCTGAAAGGGGTGCTCTCAATCTCTCCTGTTGAAGCTGTTGCACTCTGGATAAATAGTTAAAGCGTCATTGGGCCAGAGCAAGAAAGAGCGAACACAAGAGAAAGTGAAAACATATGAGAGTAAGTCTGTAGCCTGGTGGTTCATGCACTCACCTAGGGTGTGGGAAACCCTGAATCCAGTCCTCTTGCTCCAATCTATAGTGTTGGGCCTGGTCCAGAATGCGCAGTACATACTATACTGGTTGTGGAGATCTACAAGTTCTCTTTGCTACATAGTGCAGCAAAATTAGATTTACATATGTGAGAAAGCATGTTTCTTTAAAGCATAGCAAGTCACTTTGTTCTAGAACAGTACTGCAGTGGTACACAGGAATAGGAAGGGAGGTTATTATTTTTGTCTTTGATAAGGACAGGTACGTACCTTTAAAGCGCTGGATCGCATGATATTAAGCTTCACTTTTGAAAGGGAAGGTGAAGTTAATTGACAACTCTTAACCAGCATGGGTTATAAAAGAGCTATGGAACAAATCCTTTGAAGGACTTTGGGATCTGTGGAAAGTTAGGGTGCAGTGAGGTAAGCCGAAAGTTTGAACTGTTGTTTTGTTTTTCTGTTTGTAAAAATGTGGGAGCGGGGTATTTATTTCTGATGATAATGCTGAATGGCTAAAAGGGAAATCTGGCTACATGAATGCAGCTGCCTGAGTTAAACATAGAGTTTCAGTCTCTGGAGAATTTCTTAAATGCTGACACATGAGGAGCCCTTCACAATCCAACTAACCTAGCAGCAGGAAACAAATGCATAAGGATGCAGAAAGACTATATTGTGTCTGATTCCACAATTGTTACTTGCCTTCTACACTTTGGACCTTATTTTCATTTAAACCCCTTGACATTACTCCAGCAAGGTAACTACAGGGCCCAGAAAGTTGTTATAAAGGTAATTTGCACACTTTCACACTGCCAGAGTGATGTAAGGCATATGCTGCGGAGCTGAGGGAACATCCATGCTATTGCCCAACCATGTTTAAGCAAGTGCATGGAAAATAGGGTTGCCACCTGGATAGTTTTTGACCAGCCTGGCCAGTTTTTCTACACTCTTGACAGTTGCCAGTCATAAGAACATAAGAATGGCCATACTAGGTCAGACCAAAGGTCCATCCAGCCCAGTATCCTGTCTACCGACAGTGGCCAATGCCAGGTGCCCCAGAAGGAGTGAACCTAACAAGTAATGATCAAGTGATCTCTCTCCTGCCATCTATCTCCACCCTCTGACAAACAGAGGCTAGGGACACCATTCCTTACCCATCCTGGCTTATAGCCATTAATGGACTTAACCTCCATGAATTGATCTAGTTCTCTTTTAAACCCTGTTATAGTCCTAGCCTTCACAACCTCCTCAGGCAAGGAGTTCCACAGGTTGACTGTGCGCTGAGTG